GGGGAGGGGGGGGGGGAGGGGGGGCGGGGGGGGGGGGGGGGGGGGGGGGGTGTGAATATAATCGAGTAGTTGTGGGAGTGGGGAAAGCCTCGGGAGTTGACGGGGAGCCAAGGTGACGGGCCCTGGGTTGGAGCAGAGTATCGGAGGGGGGAGTAGCTTCTCTCACTCAGTCACTTTCGGGCAAACGCTCGCTCGGCCCTGCCCAGCAGCCAGGGTCCAATCAGTGTGATAGCCACTTGCCACATTCCTCACTCAACCCTTAATCCTTCAACACCCTCACCACCTCAGTTCCTTGTACTGTCACCTCCTGCTCCTGAGGCTCTGTCTCTAACTGACCCTACCAGAAACTACTCGATTATATTCACACACATCCAGTCCTGCCTCACAGACACATGTGAACAGTTAAAAATAGCTAATCTACATCTGCGCCAAAATCTCTCATTTACTCAACAACTTGGTAAAGACATGTCAAACAGTCACGTTGAGTCAAAACTTTCCTAAACTACTCCACAAGTACTGAGTGATGCTGTTGGATGATCTCTGGGATCTCCCTGTGCAGCCACAAGTCGAATCGCTTCCGTTTCTGTCTCTAACTTTACAAAAGAACAATCACCACCCACACACGATCCCCCTCCTCTACAGTGAGAGTAAGTGTGTGTGGAAGCCAGACCTCAGTCAGAGTCAGTGCATGTGGGAGCCTACTCCAGTGAGCGTCAGTGCCTGTGGGACTGTACCCCAGTGAGCGTCAGTGCCTGTGGGACTGTACCCCAGTGAGAGTCTGTGTGTGTGGGACCGTACCCCAGTGAGAGTCAGTGCGTGTGGAGACTGTACCCCAATGAGAGTCAGTGCCTGTGGGACTGTACCCCAGTGAGAGTCAGTGTGTGTGGGACTGTAGCCCAGTGAGAGTCAGTGTGTGTGGGAGCTGTACCCCAGTGAGAGTCAGTGTATGTGGGACTGTACCCCAGTGAGAGTCAGTGCCTATGGGACTGTACCCCAGTGAGAGTCAATGTGTGTGGGA